CCCCAAAACCCCAAAACCCCAAAACCCCGAGGAGCATAATCAAAACTGAAATACTTTAAAATCCTCTCTTATTCTTTTGTCTAAGGACATCAATAGTTCCTAAATCCCTCTACTCTTTAATAGAAATCTTAAGGACATACATAGAAGAGTTGATTTCAAAATTTACCTTAAGCTCTTGCTTCTGTCCATTCTTTGCATTAAATTGGGTTCATTGACCATAGAAAGAGTAAGCTCTTCTAGCTTCTCAATGATGTTATATCCTATCAACTCAGAGTCTTCCTTCAACTTATCAGTCTTGGAGACTCTGAGTGATGAAGCCTAATTTAGGAAATCAAATCCTCAGTGAAATTAACATTTAATTTTCAATTTAGTTCAGCAGAATCTGGTTTATTAGAGACAAAAGTTAGCAATGATTAAACTTCCTGTTTATTCTTCCTGTCCACCTCCTCAATGTTTTTCTCTGAGTCGTGCTCATATCCTGGACTATACATGAAGAAGGTTAATGATGTAGCTCCTTTTGAGACTTTGTAGACTGACTAGAAGTAGAAGATAGTTCTAGAAAGTTAAAATGTGAAGAAGATGGCTTATCTAGAGAAATCTTATTACCTTGATTTAATTTTCTGAGAAGCATCATTTTTATTCTTTTCAAAATATTTAAGGCCCATTTTACTCGATCTACCCTTCTTATTAGTAAAAGCAGATATGATCTTTCTAAGATGGCTTGCTTTCTTAAATATCTACCTGATCGAAGTCTTTATCTTCTCTCGAAGTTTGTACCGTATTTTTGGAGTTGTGATTTTCAGTAAATTTTTCTCCATCAAAACCACCATGAACTCCAACTTTATAATCGTGTTTTCCTGCTTTTCTGAGAGTGCTCTGAGAGGCATCTTGAGGATTTTTATGCTTTTGGATCACAGTCTTTCCTTCCTCTTGTTTCTTCTTAAAATTAATCATGATCTTTGAATAATAATGGTTGAATAAGACGCTTTCTTTGGAAGCCCGCCTTCTATTGCAGTAGAAAGCTTAAGAAGAATTCTGAGGGTGAGAATACACTTGAGGTAATAATTTAGATGCTCTCTAATGAATGACTACCTGCCTTGAAATCATTGGAGATAGTTTGAATATTTAGGTGTTGGAAACATGGAAATACTTACTCCAACTCTCCATTGAAGTTGCTGACATTTTTTAAATATTGATGTTTGTTCTTAGAAATAATAAATTAAGATTCTCAAAGCGATTATTACTTAGAGAGCTTCTCCTCCATTACGAGATTGGTTCATTTTTTAGAAATTTGTAGAGGAGTTTGAATATTTTAAGTAATTTTTAACAATAGTAAAGTCCCTCTTTGGCATTGAACATTATTGAGTTCTTATCTGATACTGCTAAACTATCTGTAGGTCCAACAAATAAGAAATTTTTTTCTGGATCTTTATCCGCTGAGGGTTTTATCTTCTTACAAGTATCACTTTGTTGGAAGAATGGATGACCAATAAGATCAGCATGAGAAATCCTCTTTTTTGGCTGATACTGAAGACACTTATTCAAAAGGTCAACACAATCAAGTGACAACTCGACATTTTTGGGAACTCCATAATCACCTTTATTTACTTTATCAGCCAACTCAGAATGATCCCCACCTGTAAACGGAACAAAGCCGACAAGGAGCTGATATATAATAATCCCAAGAGACCATATGTCTACCTGAGAAGTATATTCTTCTCCATTCATAATCTCCGGAGCCATGTAGAGAGCAGTACCAACATAAGAAGTAGAAAGCTCATCTCCTTGCACAGATTTCGCAAAGCCTAAATCCCCAATAACTATTTCAATGTCTTCCTTTTCATGGTCGAATTCCTTAATATAGGCGTCACTGACAGATCCTTTGCCTCCGTACTCAGGGAAGTGAACGAGGATGTTATCAAGTTTGAGATCCCTATGCATGATTCCTTTTCCATTAAGATATTGTAGTCCAGAAGCGACTTGCTTTATGATCTTTCTGACTAAATTCTCACCCAATTTGCCTCCTTTTAATTCAAGAAGAGTACTGAGATCTCTACCATTGCAGAACTCCATGAAAATGTAGGTGTTATTCTTAGTCTCCTTGGCTTCTAAGAATCTTATAATGTTGGGATGGTTCGTATTCATCATGATTTTAATCTCCTGAATGAGGTATTTCTTCAATCTCGTTCCCATTCTCATGGCTTTATGCTTTATCATCTTACAAGTGATTCTACGTCCTTTTCTAATTCTTTTTAGAGTATCAGATTTGATATTTTCTTCTTTACAGATTTCACAAAGGTATACGGTTCCATATTGGCCACTTCCAATCTCCTTTGCTAGATAAAAGTTGTCTACAGTTTTCATCTCAAAAATAATATTACAACAGAAATCCAATTATACCGACATTTATAGGGGTTTTGGGGTTTTGGGGTTTTGGGGTTTTGGGG